TGGAGGCCACAGGTGAAACATTGTGGACGATGGAGAGCTTAAATATATTAAAACACTTGTAAGTAGTAAAGATTTTTGGATGAAAGAAATTGGTTAGGTCCACGCAGGAGATTTGGACGATTTGTTCATAGCTGGGACCTGATTCTTTTTTAATTTAGCTTTTAGGCATTTAAATCTTTGTTGTCTTTAGCACACACCTCCAAGCCTGTGGTGCATGAGTTTCATGAACAATGTGACAGCAATGAGTAAAGAAAAGATGCAAGGAAGTAATTGGCGGGATCCAAAATGAGGCATTGTTAGACAGATGAGAAGAAGAAAATATATCTGTTTTACTCTAAGACATTGAAAATTCCACTTTTAAAAAACGTTTTTGCCCATGATGACCTGATTTGGGTTTTTCCATTTGGGTCCATAATCTGTCTGGCTGTCTGGCTATATGTGAACAGCGCAGGTGCCTCCTTAAAGGGCCAGTTTACCCCCAAATCATTTGGATTACTCCTCTGATCTGTCTGGCTTTTTATAAATTGCTCTGTTTAAGACTGTAGAAATGTCTTCCTTCTCTTTTATATAAAGAACTAAAACTACGCTCCTCTCATGATGATCAAATCACAAAAACATTAAAAACCCAGGATGAAATGCAAGCCGTTTCATTTAGGAACTCTTTTTCTTTGTACTTTCTACATTCGCCAGTGAAAATAACAGTGCAGCTGAGCTCAGCCAGCTTGGTACTGCTCAGCTGAGAGCATTTACATTTCACGCTATCTTGAGCCTCTGGTCACGGGTAACTGGAGAGTTATGGTTGGCGGTTCGGCAGTAACGTCAGAGAGGCAGACATCTTTGCATCAGATACCTCGAAAATTGGGCATCTCACACCAAAACAACACAGGTGTGTAAACAGAGCTATGTGCACAAATTTGACGTTTTTTATTTTTACACCGAGCATCTTTTAGGAATCAAAACACCGCGGCAGGAAAGATCAAGTATGAATAAGGTAAGCATGCAAAGGTGAAGGGTCACAATTCACTCATAAACATCTAAGAGACTGATTAACAGACTATATAACATGTACTGAAACGCTTTAGTCTTCATTTTGTAACTACTTCTAACCTTGAAAACCCAAAATATTAATACACAGTCCTATAAGAATAAGTTAATATATAAGGTCTATCGGTTTGTCTTCTATAAACATGTTAAGGCTTTTTCTGAAGCCTGACCAGAGATGACAGTGCAGCAAAGACAGGCTAAACTGGATAAGAGTGCAAAACTACTCAATCTCTTCATTGGCATATCAGTGAGGCAACAACTATAACATAACATGTTTCTGTTTAGCAGAGGGGGTAGGACCAACTCTCTTATTTTTGTCCAGTTCTGGATGGATTTTCACACCAGTCTGTAATTAATAATTGACTGTTGCCTTGAGGATCTACTTCATCATTTTAAAGTGAGCTGAACCTAGACCCTGTTTAACAGCCTAAGTACATATATCAGTCCCTGCCATACACAGATATACATTCACAAGTCAGGCTAGTGCAGCCATCTCCAGCCCTTTTTATGTTTCCCTGCACTCCAAGATCTTCCTTTATAAAATAAAAATGTAAAAAAATAACAAAACTATTAGTTTACATAGCTGGGTAGATTAACGGGTTGTCAGCTAACAGAAGTGTGTGTGTGTTTTGGAGGTTTCTGTCTGCCACCGTCACTCTTCAGGAGGGGAGAGGAGACGGGACTCTGTTGGGGTCTTGGTTGCTGAGAGGAGGCTCAGGCTCGAGCTCGAAGCTGATGTTAACAAAGGAGGCCGGAGACACCTCAGGCTGCTCCACCGTAGCCAGACGAGGAGCTGTGGGATCGCCCCGCTTGCCTCTCTGTTGCTCCCCAAACCGATGCTCCGCCTCCTCTGCCAGACGATTCTCCTCCTCCTCTTCCTCCTCCTGCAGGAAAGCAACAGTGAGCCAGATTAATGTTAATGTTTTTGCTCCTCCGTTTGAGTAAGCAGCTTTTAAGCTGTGACATGGTGTTGTACCTCTTTCTTTATACGGTAGTACTCATCTATGGCATACTGGTACTTAGGTGTAGTGATGCCAAAGAGAGAGGCCAGTTTCTCTCCCATGTAGTCACATACTGCAAAAAAAACAAAACAAAACCAAAAAACCCACAAATTAGAGACATCTTCTAAACACTTAAAAAATTTTTAAAATACAATAATTATAAAACAATTTGTGAAATATGCATTTCATTTCAGGTTTTCTAAAGTATTTATAACATTTCCTGATATTCCCACTTCAAAAAGCTATTTTTAAAACTCCCTGAAAGGCTCTAAAGAGCCTTAATGTAGCGATGACACCAGGCAAACCTTCTAGCTTCCTTTTTTTACTTTTATTTAAATTTCTCTGGTATTAGAATGTATTTTCAACCTGCAACGGCTGGTGTTTTATGAGTAATTTTACAATGTAGAGTTTTACCTGATACAGTGGAGGTGGCCATCCTCCACATTTGGAACCAGAAGTAAGGACCCCAGGTCAGTTTGGACTAAAACGGGCAAGTGGACATGAGATATGATTAAAAAATAAATAAATCTCAAGAAGCATGTTGAAACATTTTAAAACTGCACGTATTATGTGTATCAGTGTTTCAGGTGCATCTTTTTCTTCTTGGACTATATTAGTATTCACAAGTCATAACAATCTGTACAGTATCTCATACTGGGCCTTCCAACTGAGTTCATCCTCTGACTGGAACAAACAATATTAGCTGAATTTCCCTTCAATATAAGCTCAACTTTCTTCCTCTTTTATATTTGGAAACACAAAGAAGTATAAAGAAACACTGCAGTTCCAAATGACTGAAACATAATATAGTTGCTCAGTTTTGTATCTTAACCTGCTGGTCTACTGTGTTCACCAGGAAGCTGTACACTTCAGCTGTGGGACTTAAAAACTCAAACTACGGGCTCAAAAATCCTTGAAAAACCTAATTGATTGTTGTTATTCGACTCTTGCTGTGCCAATAGCATACCGGGTCTACAGAAATAACTTCTTTCTTTGCAGTCTGCTCCTCTTCCTCCTCTTCATCAGTGCTGTACTCCTCCATGGTCTCTCCATTGGCAAAGTAAATGGTTCTGCGAGGAACCTTCACCTTCCTTGGCGTTCCCACGGGGTCCCCCATCTCCACAGTATCAAATTCTGCTTCCCCTCCTGTACTCTGGTGATAATTTGAAACTGTATGATATTTTTAATAAAACACATATATAAGTCAATAAAGAATTGATAGGCTGCCGAGGGATTCCCATGATGCATTGAGTTTTTCCTTTCCAGTCACCTTTCTCACTCACTATGTATTAATAGACCTCTCTGCATCGAATCATATCTGTTATTAACCTCTGTCTCTCTTCCACAGCATGTCTTTTATCCTGTCTTCCTTCTCTCACCCCAACCGGTCGCAGCAGATGGCCGCCCCTCCCTGAGCCTGGTTCTGCTGGAGGTTTCTTCCTGTTAAAAGGGAGTTTTTCCTTCCCACTGTCGCCAAAGTGCTTGCTCATAGGGGGTCATATGATTGTTGGGTTTTTCTCTGTATCTATGAAGCGCCTTGAGGCGACTTATGTTGTGATTTGGCGCTATATAAATAAAATTGAATTGAATTGAATAGAAGAATTTACAGAAGTAAAAGCTTTTATCAGAGTAGAAAATGCTCAATTTCAGGCCTAATGTAAAAAACAGGTAGCAGATCAGTTCATAAAGTAGGATTGAGGCCTGGAATTTGATTTAAAAGTAATTTATATAATTTTAAAATGTATTTTATATCCAACAGGTAGCCAGTGAAGGATGATAGTGATGTGACCATTTTGCTGCTAGTGGTACTGGTACATTTGGACTACCTCCAAATTCTTCAACTTGACCTCAAATCAACAGTTGAAATGTGGACAAAGATGGAGAATGACACCCAAACCACATATAAACTGGGTTCGGAATGGGAATAGCCCTCCCAAAGCTCTGACCTAAACTCCTTGAAACTTTGGGAACAATGTTTAAAAGCCAGGTCTGTGCCAAGAAACCAACCAATTTAAATGAACTCTACTAATTTTTCCAAGATGAGTGGTCAAATATCCAACAAATTATGCAAGAAGCTTGTTTATGACTAACAAAAGCATCTGGTCAAGGTGCAACTTACTAAGGGACATTTAACCAAACATTAGTGGGGATGTCATGATGCATGCTCAATCATCCAGGTAAGGAAATCCCAAAAAGCTGATTCTGTGATTCTGAGACTGAAGAAGTCACTTGGATGAGTATCGAAAACGATACGTCCAGATGAACAGAATCACATTTTTGGGATTAGTGGGGATGTATGTAAAAATATTGACAACAATATCAGTATCTTCTTTTCCTAAAATCCAGCACTCATCGGGCTTTAAATTGCTGTTTATATAAAACCCTTACAGGTACAAAAATAAAAGTGGTCTAATGTGTTTTTCTAAGAGCTGACTGCACACAAAATACAACTCGCGACATCAAAGTACTGGTTAGAGAGTTTAAGTGACTTCAGTTGCTTTGTTTTTGTTGCCCGTTAGCTTCGTTGCTAAGGAAGTAGTTAACTATTAATACTACAAATCTTTATATGAGCTGTCACATAAAGAGAAAATAGTAAACATTTTAATAGCATCAACTAACCTTTTCAGTTTCCATAGTTTGTCCCAATGTAACATTGACATTCGCCAAATACAACGACAAATCTGCCATTACACCTACTTACACCTCACCGTGTTTCTGAGGGCTACTTCCTATTATCGTCAGGAAGAACAAATTTCCTTTCTGATTGCTTCATAATAAATGTTTTACAACATTAAAGGTACATTTTAATTGTTCTTCTGCGTGATCAAATGGCACCGACAGTACTCAAAGAGCCAAAATAACAGCTAAGTTTAATTAACCAGTGTTTTATTTCATTGTTATAGTCATAAAACAATTAGTGTGTCTTATTTTGAAAGTGGGGACCGGATGCTGGGGTTCACCCAGCGTTAGCTTGCTCCTCCGGTGGTGTTTTGGTCCAGTTGGCGCTGCTCCTCACTCGCCAAGATGACAGCGAGGAAGTCTGGTTCACGACTGGAGATAGAGATAGAGCGATGCCGCTCGGAGGCCCAGTGGGACAAGATTCCAGAGTTGGTGCGACAGCTCTCGGCTAAGCTGATATCTAACGGTAGGAAGTGTGCCGGGTTTCTCCGCTGTTCGTTCATCCAGTGTATGGGGCCTCCTCCCTGGCCTCAGTCCTCGCTACTTCCTGGCAGAGGCAGCCGATGCTGGGAGTTGTCGCCTCTGCTTAGAGCCAGTTACCTCGTAAAGACTTAAGAAAGAGATGTGACAGGTCTTTGTTAAACTTTAGGAAGGTTTGAGTTTAAAGATGTGAACAGTTTTCGCTGCTGTGATTGAGTTCCTGTGTTCTGACAGCTCAGTTTCCTGTCACGCAGAACTTCATTCAGAAATGTATCCATTTAACGTTGGATGTGTTTGACTGGTGTGGAGGATCAATAACGTTTTATGAATTGTACTTCAAGAAACATCGCTAGAGTAAAACGACAGATTTATCTCACATTTTTTATTTATCTATTTATATTTTTAAGCTCACTGTCCCCTTGCCACCAGTTAAACCGATTTGGGGCGCTATCGGGGTACTTACTCGATACTTTAATAAATTAATATGACCTCTGCCAATTTTTATTTGTGCCGAATTTTCCAGAAGGTTATAGTTCTAAGTTGTACCCCTTAACATTTATTTAATGACGGCCATGCGTTTGCTGAAACCACTATATATTTAAATGTGGTAGTTTTTCAAATTCTCTCTGGTTGGCTAAGATAGCTACAATACGTGCTAGCTGTCAAACCGCTTTCTCAGGGTATCAGTAAACGACAGTGTGATATTTTAGTTTAAAAGATAAAACCAGTTAAGCAAGGCTGATGTGTTACTCACGACAGACTTTTTTTTTTTTTTTTTAATTCTTATTTTTATTTTTTTGGTTATTATAAAAGTTACATGCAAGAAGGACTTTCTCACTTTTCTTAATGACATTTGAATGAAACGAAAATAAGATGAGAGATGTAAACTACTTTAACAGAACTATAGTCAAACTCATTTATATGCCAACCTTTGTCATGCAATTTAAATGTGCTTAGCTTTTATGTTTAAACATCATTATTGTTACACAAGGAAACGTTGGTTTATTTTTTTTTAACTTGTATCATTGCATCTGTAAAGGATATGAAACTGGAAATGAGAGAGATTTATTGTGAGATTTGAAAGAAGCAGACAATAAAGCAGGAACTCTGTAAAAACACCTTAACTAAAAAAAATTAAAACTGTTGTTTCAATTAAAAACAACTAAAATATAGTAGTGAAGAGTAAGTATAACTGTAAAAACAAATACAACTGTAAACAGAATCCCAGTAAACCTGTATCTTCTGCCTGATGGGAGAAGACTGAATAGGTGATTTGCAGATTAGGCAAGGTCAGTGGTGGTATAGTGTGAAGCTGTGGAAAATAGACTGCATCCAATGATCTTGAGAGCTATATGTACTGCTTTTTCAAGCTGTTGTTTGTCCTGATTGGTTGTGCTTAGCTGTCTTGGTGGGCTTTACTAACAATGACAGTGGTGTTCATGTCCCTTGATAACTATTGATGTATAGTGCTGCCCAGGAAGCGGAAGGACGAGACCCTCTCCAACAACATGGCCAGTGGTGGAAAAGGAGAGATGTTGAACTATTTCCCTTTTAGAGTCAACAGTAAGCTCTTTAGTTTGAGATGTGTCGAAGGTCCAACTGTTGTCTTTTCACCACCTCATCAGCTGCTGTTCCTCACTCCAGTATGCAGATTCCCTTCCTGTCACAGATAAGACTTACTGCAGTGATATCATCAGTGAAGTTAAAAGAAGCGGAGGCATTTTCCTGTAATTATTTTGGCCACTTAGTAAACAAAATAAAACAAGCTTTGTTAAATTCAATTTCACGTATATGAAAAGCCATAATTGGCCTTTGTTTAAGCTACAACCCCTTTAGTGAGCACCAGATTGTTTTTGTATAACAGAGCATAAAAGTCTGTTCATGATGACCTGAAGCCTCAGGATGTTTCGTAAGTACCTAGTAAATTCAAGACCTAAATTCAAGTCCACTGTAGACTAGATGTGGATTTGGGGAATCACCACTGATAGTATACAAAAGAAGGAAGTAGCAACTATCACTTTAAACACAGGTTTGGTCTCCACATTTTTGCATTTTTATCCAGCACCTTTTTTGTTTGTTTTGGAGTCATTAGTGAAGATATTCAGATCAGAGCCCGGAGTGCATAATTCTGTCTGGTATGTGTGCAAACAAAGCAGTGTTTCTCCGTGTGCAGATTTGCCATTCTCACTGTAACCCTGAGTAGTTTCTGAATAACCATTAAGCCTCAGTTCATGCATCATAATTTACACTCGGGGTGTTTTGAGCCCCTGTTACGTCCATATTTTCTTCTGTGTTACTTCTTTGCATACTTTTATGGCATTAATTTAAGTCCATGTTGCTTGGCAGATATTTTGCGTGAGCGTACACAGGTTACAGGGTTTGCCATTGTTGGCATGTGGTTGTAGCGACAGCTTGGCTATAGGAAGCTTAGATCAAAGGATAAAGTAGATGAAGGCACTGCATGTACTGCATTGATGTTAATGCCTCATTGACAAACTCAGGTGGTTGAGAGAGAACTTTAACCAGGTGTTCACCCTGCATTAGGCCTTAAAGTCATAAGGCAAATAATGAATGAAAATGGCACACCTTTACAGGTGAGTATCCAAGAGGAACATGCAAACTGCACACCAAGCAACCAGAAATAGGCAGGTTAGGGAGAAACCTAGTGTAAGACAAATAAGGATTTTTTTGAACTGGGTCTCATGCTCATGAGCATAATAGATCAACTGTAAGCTCTCAAAATGTTGGAGACATGCTGGATGAGGACAAGAGGATTTGATGTCATGGTTGCTCTGACCTCCTGATTGTTCCAGATGACCTGGGCGAGCTGCTGTTGGGTGAATGTAAGCTGCAGACGTACCTGAAGGAGAATCCCATCAAGCAAGGTACAAGTCCCAGGGTCCAACGGCCAAAACTGCTGGAGGTCAGGAAGCATCTCACTGCTGCTCTGGACAGAGGAAACCTGAAGGTAACCACTGGGCTGAAAATCAAAACTCCGAACACATCCTTTATTATTTATTTATTTATTCATTTATTCCTCTCTTCTAGCCGGATTACATCCAGGAAGCTAGCCTGTTAATGGCCAAACTGTGCTATGTGGAGGGAGAATACAAAGATGCTTTAGGTGACACACATTTCTCATATTCGATATTTTTTCCCCCTCATTTTAGTGAATAAGTAGGTCAGTTTATTAATACATAATTCGTGATTTGACAGGGCACTACAGCAAGGTGAACCTGGACGACATGCAGCTGGCTGGAGCTCCTGTGTACAGGCTGTCTATGATAGCAGAGTCTTATGCGACTAAAGGTATACACAGTCCTTGTTTGTGTCCTCCTTAACCTCACTTAAACTGTCATCAAGCTAATCAGCACTAATCTCTGCAGCACCTCTTCTCTCCACACGGTGGCAGTGCAGTGCCACAGATGTAAAAAGAAGCCGCAGACTGCACTGTTTGTCTTTGAATGTGTTTAACTGATTTCATCTGGGAAAACATTCATCAGTGACAGTAGGTGATGGTGTCAAATAGGGCAAAATGTCTCCCAGTCACACCATGTTTCTTCTTCTCTCTTTCTTCCTCAGGTTTGTGCCTAGAGAAAGTCCCAGCTGCTTCACCGTCTCTATCCAATAAGAACGCCGGGTCTCCGGCGTCCAACAGGAGCATGACCGAGCGGGAGCAGGAGATCATCACCTGCTACGAAAAGTCTGGAGACATTGCTTTGCTCTATCTGCAGGAGGCCGAGAAGGTGTGTTGTCATGCTGTGATGGCTTCACAGAGTGCAGCGTTTTCTCTGCGTGTTGTTGTTTTTCACTGTCCTTATGGGCGTGTGATGAACATCCTGCTGACTGCGTTCGAGTTTGACTGATGCGCCACCGCCCTCGACGGCCAACTGACAAACAAATCTCTTCGTCTTTATTTGCCGAGAGCACAGGCTGAGCAAACTGCAGTAAAACTGAGAAGGATGCAGCTCAAATATTCCAACCTGGATGTAGTGATACTTGTGAGAAATTCAACAAAACGTGTGCAATATTACAGGTGCTAGTTAAGGAACACTTTAACGATGTCATGATAATGTATTTAAGACATAGATGGGAAAACCTGTTTATTTTAAAGCAGAAAAGCAGCTTATCAAATGCTGAAACGGGAGATATTTGATTGTTTGTTGAGACTCTAATACCAGAAACTTGCATAGCTTATCTTTTAACATCTTTCTTATTAGTGTTTTAGAGTTGAGGGGCTGTACAGCATGGAAATATACTTTTTTTCTTTAAACAACAACACTGGGAACAGTGGGTACATTCATCAAATCACAGAGATGAAACTCTTAAGGGAATGAACTAAAGGAACATTTTTTTTTCCCTCCAAAATAATCTCTTTATCTCTCCTGGTGTGCAGTCCTCTTATAATGCACTCCCTGATCCTTAAAGTATTTTACTGTATTCTAGTTTATATTCAAAAGTATGCAAAGCAGCTTTCAGACTAATTTCCTCCACCTTTTGTGTATATATGTATATATAATATATAGTTATAAGAGATTTTTTGTTTTTAATTATTGTTTTCCAAAACTACCTTATCTGTCTTTTGTTGTCTGGTGGTTTGCACGTCTTTAAACATTTTAAAAACTCCGAAATAAAAAGAGAGTTAATAATCAAAAAGGAGAGAGAGCAAATGCTGCAGTACCAGGTTTGACTGTTCACTTGCTTATTTGATCGTTTTCAAAAGGAGAAAAGCACAATGTCAATAGTCTTTCAGGAGTGGTCCGGTATTTTTAACACCGTTACGTTTCCTTAAACGTGGAGTCCTCTGACCCTGAAAGTTAAATGTTAAAATTTGACTGCTCCTCAAGAAGTTGTTTCAAGCTTGTTTAATTACGTCCAAAAAGACCGTAAAAGGAAGTATTTAGTAACCACATTTAGTTTTTCGATATAGCCTGATATCAGATTCTTTGTCATATATTGTGTCTTTGTGACACACAATATATTTCCGGCAGGTGTCAATTTTTGGACTGCCAATGAGCCAGTTTAGCACCTGAAGTCATTTACTAAAAACGGACATTATAAGAGAGAGACATGGAACTTGAATAATCCTGAATTGAAATTTGTGGAAGAATTCTGCAACGGAAACGATGGTTGTGGAAGTTTAATATTCACTGAGGGACAAAATCAAATCAAATAAAGCGGAGGTTGAAAAATCAAAGTAAAAATCAATAGAAGTAAACAGTTAAAAGTCATGCAGTGATTTCCACTGCAGAATCGTGTCTGTTTTTTAAATGCAGAGCCGCCTGAGATTAAAATAAGTCTTATTGATTCAGGTTAGGAGGGGTTGAGTAAACTTCTCGTTCTTTTTGTTGTTTGTTGTTGCATAGGCGTTGTCAGCAGGGATTCAGAACCGCAGTCCAAAGCCTGGCCCGACAGCTCAGGACCAGGAGCTGGGCTACTTCCTAGAGACGGGCCTTCAGAGAGCCCATGTCATCCACTTCAAGAATGGGTAAGGGGGGTGGGGAACACATGGTGGTGAACCTGAGAGATCAGACAGGAAAGTTTTTACCTCTCTGGCTCTTGCTGATGTCTTTTTTTTCTTTTTTTTTTAAACCTTAGCAGCCCTCTGTGGGCATTCTTCACTCATTCAGCAGTTGTAGTGTTACAGAGCTGCTGACAGGTGGAATAAAAGCAAAAAAAAAAGTGTGAACATGGTTAAGTAACGTTCACGGTTGAGCTCAGAGCAGTTCACACAGCGGTGTTGCGCTAAATGCTGCTGGTGGTTTCAGTGTTGCAGCAGCTGCTGGACGCCTCATGATAGTCTCTTTCCTACAGGGTTTCTGTTTTTTGTTATTTGTTTTTTTTCTTTCTTTTTACTTATTGCTAAATGATTGTTTTTGCTGTGAAGCAAACCAAAAATATGTAGACAGTATACATACTCTGTTTTTGTAAATATTAAAGTCTGGCCTCAGGTACAAATATGACATCACGCAGCAACTTGTCATAGTTTCTAGGAATAACATGGTTTCATTTGAAGCTTCTAGCATAAAAAAAAATGCCTCACACAGCATTAAATGTCCATAAAAAATATATTGTGTGTGTATATATTGGAATGTGACTTTAAATAAGGCCTGTTACTCTTTAACTTTCCTGTCATGTGTATGGCCAAAGGTTTAAAAAATTAGGTCATCCTGTGTAGAGAGTTTCTTCTGCTTTTGGCTTTGCATGATGTAAATGTGGGATGATATGGTTTGAATGGTTAAAGATTTCCAGTACGGAAATCTCAGTCACATGACGTTGCCTGTGAGCAGAAAGCCCACCTGCTGGTGGCAGCAGTAGCAGCCAGTCAGAGGAATGTTAAAAGGTTGGTGGAGCTGAAACGGTTTAATTCAAACTTAGAGTCCCCACAATATAAAAACAGAATTATTTTAAACTGATAGTCATGCAAAGATATTCAGAGAGTCCAAGTATAAAAACATGGAGCTGGAAATTTGTGTCTGAAATTAGTGAGTTTATATTTGCACCATTTTCAAATTGTTTAAAAAAAAAAATAGTAAATGATGTGAAACAGTATGGTCTCCTAAACAGTTGTGTTCTGGTGCATGCATAGGCTTGCTTTTACAAAATGTAATCAGAATAAACTAAGTAAGTGGAACCTAATTCAACACCTTTATCTAACTGTTTCTGTTTGTTTCCAAGGGGAAGCCAATGAAACTGAGCTAAATCAACTTGTTTCAGACAGAAGATAAACAGAAAAATTGGGATTATTTTGAACTCTGAATCATGCAAAGCTACTCAAGTGGTCAAAGAAAACCAATACACACAAAATTAGGCGAGTATGTGCACTGGACTCAGTGTTGTTCAGCAGCCAGTAATATTTTTTTTTTGTCTTCCCTGTTTCCTGTCTCCATCATTGCAGCAACCTGACACAAGGTGTGGGCAGGTTTCGAGAGATTCTTCGGGCTATTGAGACCAGAACCACCCAGAACCTACGAATGGTGAGGAACAGTTTATTAACACTTAAGGGAACAGCTTGGAATTTTTGGGGAACATAATTGTTTGCTTCATAGGTACTTTAAGGTACTAGAAGTAAGATTTTGTTCTTGTTTTTTTTTTAAACAGTTCAAACTGTTGTTGCACATTTAAGCTGACAGAAGTCAAACTGAAAACATTTTGTGCTCCAGAACTTTAGTTTTCATGGGCGTGCTATCATTTCACCTACACTGACACATGAAATGATGACTCTGAGAATGTTTGAAGTAGAGCTGGGCGATATAAGATTTTTTCATATCACGATATGTTTTTTTCATTTCAGGCGATAACGATATCTATCACGATATAAGCCAAATAACTATATTTGTAAGATTTAAATGTGCCGTTGCTCACAAGTAAAATGTGAAATAATCAGCAGCTTGTTTTTATTTAAATATTTATTTCCCATAATAAGTTCAACAGGGTAGATGTACTTAAGGAACATGAGACTATTTCAGATAGATAAAGGCAAATATTGCAAACTACACAAAAGGCAGCCGCTAAAGCGTTTAAGTTTCAAAATAGAACAAACAAAACAGACTAAATTGTCAATTCCACTTAGAAACAAAATATTAATTCTAAAAATAAATTGTTTTACAGAAGAACAGACAAAACTGACTAACTTTTGTCAATATCAAATAAACTGAGAACTAAAAGGAAATTCTCAATCTCTCCTTGTTGTATAGCTGAGCTTTTCAAACAGTTTTAACAGTTACTTTAGTCTGACAAAAGCCGAATGACGAATTAGCGCTTCCAGTCAGAGACTGAGGCTACGTCCACACGTACACGGGTATTTTTGAAAACGGAGATTTTCCGTTTTCGTTTTAAAAAAATAATCCCGTCCACACATAAAGGCAGAAATGAAGGAAAACGCTGCTATGAACATGCCAAAGCAGCAGGTGGCGCTAGATTCCTAACCGTGCAGAAATGTTGGCCAATCTAGAAGCCTCGGTGGGAAAAAGTAAACAAAGCTGGGGCATAGAAGCAGAACCGAGTCGTATGTGTGGACGGACAGTAACTGTGTGTATATGTAAGCATTTAAACACTGCAGAGAGTAGAACAGTATTATAGAAATTCATTTCACCGAAACAATAACGTGGCGCACAGTGTGACGTCAAAATGCGCACATCTTTGACGCTGCGTTTTCTCCGTTTTTCTAGTCCACACGTAAATGCAAATACGGAGTTTTAAAAAATCTTCGTTTTCAGTGACCAAAAACGCCGTTTAAGTGTGGACGAAAGGTGCAAACGCATAGAAAAATCTGCGTTTTCAAAAATACCCGGGTACGTGTGGACGTAGCGCATGCACCAGTTTATTGTATTTCCAGACTTGCTTTCGGCACAATTTACAGTGCGCGCTACTCTGTTTTTTGTCAGACTTGAAATAGCCGAAATACCTTCACACTACGGAACTTCTTTGGCTCTTCAGTTCGACAATCTATCCGTCATTGGAACCATCATCTGTTTTCTCTTCGGTAACCTTTGGTCACGCTCGGTTGATTTTTCTAGTCGGCACACTCATTTCCTCCATTACCCGGGCGGTACGGTGGCTGGCTGCTTCCCAAACAAATACACATGTGCGGCTTGGCACTTGTGCTGTAAGTAACAAGTCACGTGACGTGACGCTGCGGCTGTGATTGATTCGGCTCTGCGTTACTTAATTTGGATTGGCTGTTGTTTTTTTGTTTTTTTAGGACAAGGACAAGAGCGGCGAGGTCTATCACGATAGTTGAATTTTTCTATCGAGAAAAAGTTATATCGCGATACATATCGTTATCGTTCTATCGCCCAGCTCTAGTTTGAAGCAAAGTTAGAGTTATGCCTCAGCGAGTGGTAGACAGAAGGAGAGAGAACTTACACTGCATGGCACTGCTGTCCACAGATTTTTTTGATTTGTACTTCAAAAGGAAAACTGTTTCTAAATCTGACCTCTAACAACAATAGTGAGGTTAACTAATGGTCACTGACACCAAAATTCAAATGATTTATATCTACACATCCCCAAAGTTGAAAGTCAAACACTTGCCCAACAAACAAATGACAGAGCCCAACGCAGAGGCTTCACCTGTTTTCTGTCTGTGGCAGCCGACTTTAACTTCTCATCTTAGCAACAAGTAATACGTTTAAAAATTTCCCAAATTACTCCTTTAAACACGTCACTTCTTCCACAAATTGCACCACAACTGTATCGTCTGTCTGTCTCTCTGTTGGGAAGAATCCCAGGACAGGCTGTTAGATCCAATAGTTGTAAATTTTTATAAGGATGTACGTTAATGACGAAAGGGTCCAGATTAAAGCCTGTGCTGTGCTATAAGAAGTTAATATACAAGTGTTGTGTTCGTACAGACCATAGCCAGACAGCTTGCAGAGATCTTGCTCAGAGGAATGTGCGAACAGAGTTACTGGTCTCCTCTTGAAGACCCACCCGTTGTGTCGCCCCTGGACGATCCGACACGCCAAGGACACACTCATAGCAAGAGCTACAGCCTAAGCCGACGCCCACGAGTGTACTCGGGAGAGAAGTAAGAAGCAAAGCACTCGGCGTGGATACCAGATTAAATCTGCTGCCAGTGTACTTTTCCACCAATTTGTTCTCATCACTTTTCTCTCCATTTTTTCCCTCCCTTTTTTTTTTCCCTCCCTCTCATCCTCGTCCAACTCCATCGGCCTCCCGCTGCGTTCCTCTCCTCGCAGTCTGTTTTGCCCTCAGGAGAACACAGAAGAAGCATTGCTGCTGCTGCTCATCAGTGAATCCATGGTGAGGCACAAACTCTCTGCAGAGTAAACCATGCCAGAACACTGAGCTGGTTTTTCCGTATTCACACCTATGCATACGTGGGCTTTTGTGTGTTTCAGGCCAACCGTGATGCCGTCCTAAGCAGAATTCCTGAACACAACAACGATCGGATCATCAGTCTGCAGTCGGCCTCGGTGGTGTATGACCTGCTGACCATAGCTTTGGGCAGGAGAGGGCAGTATGAGATGTTGTCAGAGGTGAATGACCCCTCTGTAGACCGCAGTCACAGTGACTGTGGGGATAGTATTTTCACTGCTTTTGTTCCTCAACAAACGTTGGTGCCTAGAGACATCCCAATAAAACAGAAAAATGTACTATCTTTCAGTGTTTGGAGAGAGCCATGAAGTTCGCCTTTGAGGAGTTCCACTTGTGGTATCAGCTCGCCTTGTCGCTGATGGCAGCAGGCAAATCAGCTCGTGCCGTTAAGGTTCTCAAGGAGTGTATCCGCCTGAAGCCCAATGACCCCACCATCCCGCTGCTGGCCGTAAAGCTGTGCATCGGACCTCTCCACTGGGTGCGAACCGTACAGCTGAGCTGCCCTGTGAGGGCGGTTTGTTAGTTCTTAATATAACTGCCTCCAACATGTTCACCAGTGTCTAACTTTCTCTCTCTGTTCCTATAAATTTCCCTCTGTCATTATTCAGCTGGATGAAGGAGAGTGCTTTGCAAAGATGGTGATTGACATGGGAGAGAAAGCAGCTGAATTCAGAGCCAAAGGCTACTTGGCTATAGGTTTGGTTTACAGCCTCAAAGCCACTGATGGTAAGTCTGTTCAGGAGAAGTTCCATCTCCTGAGTCATTTTCTTGGTGCGAACGTGTGAGCAAGATTTTTATTTTTTTCTGGGTGAAAAGAAATCAGGAAAAGCTACAAGTTTGCAAACTCATTGGCTGATTTGGACCAGAGTTTTTTTTCCAGCCTAGCCCAGGTCAGGAGGGCTTTCTCTTTTTTGTGATTTTGTTTTTTCCATCTTTCAAATGGTTGTGCATCATCAATTTGTCCCTGCTGCCTACTATGCCCCATTTCACACTGTTTAAAAATTTAAATTGTAGGGTCATTTTAGGGTCAGGAATTCAGTTCATGTGCAAAAGGCCATGAAAAGACTTCTAAGAAATCCATCACAGCACTTCATGTATGCAGGGGCGTGGCTAAAAATTCTCAGCTGCAGACCTGTCACCAGGGGCCAGTGTCGGGAGATGTTTTTGAGCCTGTTAGTTTGTCTGTTATGACACCTATTGCCCGACAACAGCACAAACACAAAGAATTTTTGTTTGTAGTGAAGTGAAGTGAAACTGAGCGATAACAATGAAAATGTTTGATGGGGGTTTTTTTTCTTTTCTTTTCTTTTTTTTTTTGAGCTCCTTCTTCTTCGCGGTGAACTCGATGCTGCTCTTTCCCGTTCAAGCAACTTTCAACCACTAAATATGACAAGCAAGGGGTGGAGCTGTATATGAAACTGGGCGCTCATTGCAATGATCATATCTGTGTAATCTTCCTTTGTAACACTTAAACAGACCAGTATTTACAAAATGGTCCTAATGGTTTAGACAGTATGACCTGAAATGAGCAACTGAGGCCATAAACCAAGGTTTACGAGGTCCTGACCGTTTTCGATGAGGTTTCTATGGGCTCATAATTCTTTTTGCCCCCTGGTGGCCATTAAAATGAATGCAGGTTTAAGGTCTTCACTTTTCAGACCCAGATGCTGCTTCCATCTTTTTTATACATTTATTTATGCATATTACTTTGATCTTTAGTGGACCAGACCAGTGAATATCGTCTTTCTGTCAGTGTAAAGAACTTTAACTGCACATTTAATCCCTGCGATATCTCTATAGAAGAAAAAGAAGTGCAGTTTAAGCACCACACCTCACTGCTCTATTTAAATGAAAGGAGTGTGTCGGCACGACTCTTTGGGCTTAAATTGTAAGAAATGTGTAAAAATACAGAAAAGGGTCTGGTAGCTCAGAGCCCAGACTGTCCTGTAATTAGAAAGCGGAAGGCTTTTGTTAATTGCCAGAAAATGCCATATTTTATTTATTTTCCTGTGGACACGTTGTCATTTAGTTGTTTGTCTATTGCTTCACAAGTTTTGTGTTGTACAAATAGCTGTGTAGGAGGTCTTTAGCACTAGCACAGGCTTTAAAATTTATAAAAACACCGTTAAAAGTCCAAAATTTTTACCCTACTTCACAGTCCAGTGGTCCTTATGTTTGACACCCCTGTTGTATACTGTGCACGGTTGCAAATTTATCACACCTTTGCTCACTCTGAGTAAATTCAAAGTAAGGGAAGTGTGAGTCATAGTTCTTTAAGTCTATGTTGAAGCCATGAGTTCTCTCCTCATTTAAAATCATTCACCTTGAGTTTTCAGCCACTTTTCAAGTGGTTTTGCTTTTGGGTATGTGTGCTGTCAGGGGACTCTTTTTGTTTGTGATGAGTATGATGGCAGATCTCTATAGAGCGCTTGCTTACATGAGGCGATGCATCATCTGTTTCTGTTTCTGGCCCGGATGTTTTTGCAGTATGAAAAGAAGTGTGCAAAAAGCTGCAGTGATTCATAATCAGTGTTACTGTAAAACCCATCGGTGTGTTTGTGTCTCTGCATGTCTTTAGCGTCATTGCGGAGCACACAGGAGGAATACCAGAGGAAAGCTTTGGGAGCCTTCCAGAGGTTCGGACTGAGCTATGATGCTCTGTTTTCTTTTTTTACACTTTAAACTTACCACCCTGCCAAACCATTACATTATGCTTTTGACTCATTTGAACCTTCGTGCTTGTGCTATGACTAATCTGTGCGCAATGTTTGGCTTTGACATTATTTATTCCCATAAATATGGTCAGCATTTGCTTCCCTTTTCCATCCGTCTTGCTGCAGCGCTGACCTTATTTTTCCACTGGGATCTTTAAAGTTTTATCTAACCTTATTTAATTTTTTATTTGCTGCCTCTTGAACACAACATCTCCTTTCTCTTCTCATCTGTAGAGCTCAGAGTCTGTCTCCAACTGACCATTTGGCAGCCTTCTACTTGGCGCTGCAGCTTGCCGTGTCCAGACAGGTAATGCAATGTACAGTCGTAGCAAGAGAAAAGCAACACAAGTGTTTGTGACACTAAAGGCAGACGTCCAAAATCAAAACTCCAAGGAGTTGCACATATTTAACAAAGTGCTTTTTATCCCAAATGTTGTGAAAACCTGTAGTTTGTGTACATATGTGTGTGTATGTGTGTAGATCCCCGAGGCGCTAGGCTATGTTCGACAGGCACTGCAGCTTCAAGGAGATGACGTCCACTCCCTTCACCTGCTGGCCCTGCTTCTCTCTGCCCAGAAACACTACCACGATGCTCTCAATATCATAGAGATGGCTCTCTCCGAGTACCCTGAAAACTTCAAGTGAGCTCACAGACCTCACACTGAGGTTTTTTTTTGTTTTGTTTTTTAATTTAGCTGGATCAGGCTGATTGTGAGTTTGTGTGTGTCTGTGTAGTCTGTTGTATACCAAGGTGAAGCTGGAGGCTATGTGTAGAGGACCCGAAGAAGCTCTGCTCACCTGTAAACACATGCTGCAGATCTGGAAGAGCTTTTACAACCTTACCAACCCAAGGTATGCACACACTCCCCCTCGATAAAAACACTACTATTTCTACTACTGATAGAAAGTGGTAGAAATATGGTAACAGTGATGATAGAATTTACAAAATGCAGACAGGCAAAACTAGTATACCATCAACACCAAGGTGCAAGATGGATGACAAACCAGACACCAGATGGTTAAAACCATCATGTAATAGAAGGTGGTCACAGATTTTTGTGAACGTCATCTCGTCAGGCAGGTGGTTTCAAATCCAACGGGCCTCAAACTAGCAGCAGATGTAAGTCTTAACTTTGGAAGTCGAGGATCTAAAGATCAATGAAATGTTCAAGTCATACGTAAATATTACAAAACACGGAGCCTGTGGCTAGAAGGCAGGATTGGTGTCATGTGTTCTAGCAAAACCAGTAAATGTCCCCAAAAAACCCCTCTGCTCTATGTCAGCCCCTCCCAAACTTAAGAAAAACACTGCACATGGGAGTAAAGTCACAGCGGGAGGTACTCGCTTTCTGTGAGTCGTCCTTTTAATATTCAGTGTGTTCCAATTTTGATTTTTGATGATGATTATCCAGTAACGCCTCCACCAAAGTCAAGAGAAATAAAATAGTTATTATTTGGTCAGATAAATGAACAATAACACATGGTTCAAATCACATGGCTTTGTTTTATTGTTGTTTCCTTTTTATAGTCCCTTAAATTTTGAGAATCACTGCTTCTCTTGTTTCTGGTGCCGTAACAAAACAAAGAGTTTGATCTTTTTTATTTGTTTGCTTTTATTTTAAATAATTAAGATATGGTGCCAATAAAAAAACAATAACTATACCTGATTTAAATGTTACTATCCCCTTTAAGGTAATATACTTCCAGATTATTACTTGTGATCAGCGGTTTAAAACCAAAGAAAGTGCATCAGATGTTGAGCACCATGATGTCATCCCCCAGGGTAAAACTGGGCGTCTAATCTAATGTCTTGAGGAGTTGGAGGGAGAGCATTTGTAACCGAGGCAGGTGGCTGTGATTTCTCATTTCTCCTACTCTTGAGATTGAGCTCCCTGCGGCTTTGACCTCTATTCCAAAATAATATTAAGGTTGACGGGTCGCTGCTGTGAAGATCTGAAGATGCAGCCCTCGTCCTAAATAAGCACCTTCGTGTGGTCATAATGGGACCGGTGTGGAGCTCTGAGATAGGTGCAGAGGTGTGCAAGGAGACTACCTTGAAGGATCTGGCCACCAAATGTAACATTTTTAAGACTTTTAAAAAGAATTTAAGACTCTAACTTTGTGAAGACTGGATTACACTGAACTACCAACTGAGCACTTTCATGGAGAAGCATTTAATTCATTCTAATGGTCTTGGCATTTAAAAATGCTATAATTCCAGGCATGTTTGGTGATGTGTACTAAATAGCTTCTGTGGACAAATATTAGTTAATAACATAAACGGTCAATAAAGTTTACTGTTTATGTTAACCTGATGTTAGGTTTGTTTTTAATTTTAATCAAAACCTCACTATGTGAAAACATAAGCTGGTATTAGTTTATATTTATGATCCTGCAACTCTTGCCCTAATTAAATGTCCATTTAGTAAATTTTTTTTAAAAAAATGTTTTACACGCTTGTTTTTGCAAATTTTCTGAATGGATTATCACATAATTATGAAATATAAGACCTTCCCCGACTCTCTCTGTTGATTCTGACAGTCTGTGGAGTGACTTCTTTGTGAAGAACTTGGGAATTTTCTGCAAATATCCAAAGGATGTGGCATTTACGCCCGCTCCCGAGTGCCGCTCCCAGTGCCAACAGTGAGGAAGTTAACATTAGCTTATGAATGGTGTCCACTAATCACTAATGTCAACAAACAGGCACAACAGGAACACAAAAGAAAAAGGAAACACTGATGTGGCTTTACATATGGCATTTAATCCATAGTTTTCCAGACTACAGATCACTTTAAGCCATCTTTTTTTTTCTGGCTAATGTTAGCCAATACTAGTAATATGCCTAATTTCTTTGTTTTTTTTTGTCTGTGTGCATTTGTCCCATTTAAATGTTTCAATCATCAAACAGAATTTAATACAAGATAAACATAACCAGAGTAAATACAAAATGCACTTTTTAAATTATTTCATTTATTAAGTGGGGAAAAACCAACCCAAACCTGCCTGTTCCTGTGTGAAAAACTCTTCGCCCTCTAAATCTAATAACTGGTTGTGCCATCCTTGGCAGCAAGAGCTGCAATCAAGCATTTGAATAACTGGCAATGAGTCGTTGTCTCTTCATTAATAACACAGTTCCCTTGAAGCTTGATCTAACTAAGAAAACAAAAGGTAACCAAGGCACTAAAATGCTTTATCTCCTTGTTTTGGAGGTCATGTTTGCTCAGCAGCTCAATCCCAGGCCGTGTGTGTGTGTGTGTGTGTGTGTGTGTGCTTGCATGCGTGCGGATGTGCTTTTTCCCTTTGTTTACATCCACGTGTGTTTCGTGGCAGTGATTCGGGGCGTGGCAGCAGTCTGTTGGATAGAGCCATAGCAGACAGGCGACAGCTCAACGCTATGACCTTGCCTGACTTCAGTGACCCTGAGACTGGTAGGTACAGACACCTGAAATCTACGTGCTCAGCGTTCATCAGTAAACATGGAGTCAAACTTGTTTAATTATTCTCTCTCCTCTAATGGTCATCCTGATGTCTTTTTTACAGATAGCAGAGGGAAAAGTCTATAAAAGAATCTGATTTCTTTTAACTTAATGTATAAACTTTAAAAAATGGGAGCATTTTAAAAAATGTTGTTTGAGAAAAGGTCTTTTTGTTTCTATCCTTTCTTTAATCCTTCATTAATTTCACTCATTTCTGTTTTATTTCCTCCTTTTTAAGTCTCAGGTTCTTCCTCTTCGCTCTCTGGTTTCGAACCAGTCTCCCCTACCTCCCCCTCCACCATGTCCACCGTCTCCTCCCCGCTGTCTTCCCCTTCTTCCCCTGTCTTCATCTTCCAGCCTCCCCGTACTCCTCTGCCTCCACTCCGAAAACCATCTTTCCGCTCTCCTCTTCCTTCCCTTCCCCCTGCCCTTCCTCCTCCTCCTCCACCTCCACGCACAAAGACCAGGACTCACTCCTTCTGCAACCACGCCATAGTCCGCCAGCTGTCCTCCAACTGTAATCCTCCTCCACGTCCGCTCTGCCTGTAGCACGGTGTGGAGACTGACCACAAACAGATGTCATCACTAGTTACTTTTGCCTGTTTCTGTGATTTTTGAGCTACATATGTTATGACTGCTGTTAGTTATAACATCATAAAAATTTATGTCCAGAAACACGAATAGAATTAAAGATCCAAACTATATTATGAAGCACTTCAGCCTCCTGAGAGACCAGTTGGATCTCTGTCATGCTCATGAAGTCATGAAATTTCCTGTACTGCAGAGTACTGTCAGGCCAAGCTTTAATACTTTAATAATGCTGAGAAATTCACTGATATTTAAAACTATTTAACTATTTAAAAAATATTTTAAAATGACAGGGGCAGCACCATTTCCTGACACATTTAAATCCTCCTGGATGTGGTTTTCAGGCAAAAGAAAAATCTTAAAAGTTAAAAAATGCTTCTGTATTTTTTGGAGAAGATATTAATTACCTGCTTTGCAATTATTTTCTTACTTAAAGGCATCACTTGTTAGTTCCTGGCTTAATATAATGTGCCCATAAACCACCAGCTATCTTTGAACTCTTCGATATCTAAGAAAGCTCCTCTTATGAGCAGCCACATCCTTCTTGTGCTTTCACCCGCACTGATGCTTGAGCGGATCGTGAATTAGAGAGATTTGTTTAAGCCTGGACAAAGAGACTAAAGAGACTAACCATTTTGGAGTTTTGGCAGAGACAAACTCCACAGAGCTGCTGTAAATCCTGGCATGTTTGCAGAAACTTTGATGTGGATTGAATTGAGTTTTGATGCATTTGCTTTGCTTATTTTGTGACTTAAACATGCGCGCACACACACACACACTCATTTTATTTAGCTAAAATTTATTGATCAGATGGGGGGGAGGCAGTTTATGTTATAAAGGATTTTGTTTCCACAGATCGCAGCTGCACTTTCTCTGCACCTCTGTTTTTGTTTTTAATAATTTTCAGTGTTTCCATCTCAGCCAGCATTAATTTGTCGTGCTTCCCAGTTTCGATGTTGTCTGTCCTTGTTGCCATCTCTCTTACTAATGATAATAATAATGGTAATGGTTGTCTTTTAGATTATTTTTCCCCGCAGGCCACAGAACGGTGACAGCTAGTCGATCATCATGGTTACTGAAAATATGATACATTTACTTTCTTTAGGAGATTTTTGAATGATTAGTTCATTAAAAAGCTAATTCAAATATGCAGGCGCACCACATCATGAGGTGTAAAATATAATGTTCCTCACCAATTTTTGAAACAAAAAACCTGTCATGACTTGAAATATGGGCCTTCTCGACATGTTGGTATTTAAAAAACTTTATGGCACTAACTACTTAATAGGCCAGTGGGTGTGCATTTATGGAGGACTGACTCTGCCAAACGTTTAAAAAAAAAAAAAAACAGAAAAAAAAGAATGAATGACTCAGTAAAATGAAGTAATTTGCCAATAAGCAAACAAACTAGAACATAAATAGTGTTTTATAGCACATAAAAATTAGCTTTTACCTACAGTTATTTTAAGTATTCCTTTTAGTGCATTTATTCCTACAAATAATCGTTATTTACTGATTATTTTTTCTTGACCTAAATATTTCAGTATTTCCACACATACTGATTTTTTTTATTTTTTTATTTTCTATACATATTGTTTTTTTCCATCTATGCAAAGAAACAGCAGCGCTCTTATTTTGAAAGTTCAGTTACTGCTAATTCCATGAGAATTCTTTTTACTTTTTTTTTTTTAATGTAGTTATTCACAGTTTGGTCTGTTTCGGTCCTCCATATTCACATGTTATTCACATCAAATTTCTGTCATTAGAAAGGGTGCATGAGTGGAAGCGGCTCGCCTGCTGTCATGTGGTCTAAAAGTGACTGTGTGAAGAATGAAAACCCCGTGGGGTGCTGCAGTCTACCCTCTGTGGATTCTTTTGTTTTTTTTCCTCATCGTGCTTTGGATATTTCTTCTATCTCTTCCTCTCTTTCAATCATTAACAGTCGTCTTTCTGTTTCTTTCCATCCCTTCGTTTTATTCAAGGCGGCCTTCAGGACGCTAACACACTTGGTTTTTCCTCCATGTTTTCTGTTTGTAAGTAGCCATCTAACCTCCATCTTTTCTTTTCTTTTTTTCCCCCCCCTCATCCATTCTTCCGTCATTGCTCCCCCTTTGTCCCAAGAGGTCCAGATATGTGCCATATTCATATGACGAGAGTATGTGCAAATATCTTCTGCTTTAAGGTGACATCTGCAAACAGTTTTATTTTGTTTTTTTAAATCATGCTGGTGGCTGATCCAAATGCCCACAGTGAGTTAGAAGGAAGAGCTCAGGCATCTTTTGCATGTTGTCACATTAAAGCAGCATGAAGGTGTTCAGGAAACAACTTGTTTGGATTGTTTTAGAGCACAATCCAGATGAGGGTCTTATTTTCCAGCACACAGATGTTATTTCTGATGCGTTTATCCTTTTCGGTAACGTGAAAGAGAACAAAAACTCACCAGGAAGCAGTTTCCTTCTCACGAATGTGATGGTAGTTGTGACAGTAACTGTTACAACAAGCTCGAGGCAAATTGCTGACAGATGCTCAAGTGTTGTAATCAATTTACTTCCCACAGCGGTTTGTGGGAAGTTGCACAAATGAGGAAGTGGTGCAGTTTCTCATGAAAGGCATTATCAGCTCTGTACAGCTGATATCCTTCTCTGTATTCTGACACTTAGGCTAACGATCGCATCTTTCACATGATGTCAAAGTACCGCTTGTGTCAAATATGGGTCTTTGCAAATTTTTGCGTTATTTCAGTGAGTGCCTTCTGCCTGACGCCCTCAAAATCAACTTTGTACCATAACTTACAAGCTAAGTTTAACCTTCATACCATGGAATTTGGCACTATTTTGGTGTTTGTTTATTTTTTGATAACTGAAAAGCACATTTAAGTCCAGAAGGAAACACGGGTTGAAGGTGAGCCTGTTATCAAACTGAGGATAAAAAGAAGACCTCGTTTTGAGCAGCCAGATATCCCACATGGTAATCTGACCCTTGCAAATTTAGCCAAGTTTGTTTTTTGGGGGTTTTAAAAAAAAATTTTTTTATATGGATCGAACAAGCTGTATCGAAATATTGACTTACACCGATCAGCCTGCCCCAGCCTACTACTCTACAAACCCTGATGACAAAACCTCAGTGACCAAGTAGGGCGTGGACTCTGCAGTGTTTTTTACCAGAGGAGTCATTAAAATACTTATTTAAAGAGGTGGCAGCAACACACCACTGGAAAACATTCAAACACACCCTGACATCTTCGTAGAATCACAACAAGCATAACGTGCAACAATAAACACTCCACGAATGATGTAAAGTCCAACACAAACAAAGAGCAGCACACACAAACAGTAAGACCTGCGGGTAGAAACAAAAAAGAAAACGGCAGCTGGAGGAGGATCGGAGGAAAGGAGGTGCACGGGAGCATAGTAAGCAACAGATAGATGATGGGGAGGTCACAGGGTGACAGATCTGAAGAATCTAGAGGCAGGGAACACTTTGGGCTTCATGTAATCTGTAGATCTATAATTCAGTGTAATTCTGGCGTATTTAATACATTCATTCGTGCAGACCTCCCTCTCACTGGCCACCTCCTCCAGCTCCTCTAGGGATGGAGGTGTTCACTGGCCTTCCCTGGGCCTTATACATTTAAATCATCTTTATACACATCCAAATGTGGATTTGGGTAAAAATCCATATTTGCCATCTTGCAGTACAGAAACAGGCTTGCAGACAGACGATGTACAGAGAAAAGTGAAACAAAGTAAGACTAAAATAAATCAAATAAAGCTTCAAATTACCGAAACAAATTCCACCTGCAGGCTGAAGGTGTTTATTCGCCATCATCAGCTTAATTTAGGGAGCGCTACACGCCATCCTGCCCGTGTTGTGCTGCGTTCAGCTGGGCTGCTGCATGGTGGCGTCTAATAAATTACTCCACAGCAAACAGGATTCTCAGCTGAATCGAGACATCCTTTTGCCACGTAGTCCCCTCTTAGAAATCGTTAACATTCAAATCTTCTCCTTTTTTAAAATATTTTTTATTATTCCTTCAGTCAGTGAAGGGGACGGATCAGATTAAAGCAAGCTGTGTTCATTTTAAATTTAGAAAAAGACTCTAAGAGGCACGTTTTATTCATTTTTAATCCCTTTAGGTTGCAATGCATATGACAGTTTAGCGAAACAAAACAAGACAAAGATCAAATTTTGTGATGTGTAAGGGGGTCGTTCTGTGTAGCGTTGTGATACGTTTGGCTTTTGTGGACCTGCTTTTCCTCCCATGCTGACCCCTGTAATAGTCCGCGGATACGCAGACCATCACAGCGACGCTTCTTTTAGTTACTAATGAGCAGAGTGATGCAGTTTTATGCATGATGGTGACACTAATTCGTTGTAACTCAGGGCCCTAACACTGTGTGCCGCCGAGTGCTGAATGGCGTGGACTTATTTTAAGGCTTGAAAAACTGTGTGCCAGTGTGGACTCCAACTGTTTACTGCAACCAAACACTGCAGAACCACAGTAATCAGTGGCCTCTGCTGTTGTTTTGTTCAGTTAAAATCACCCTGCATTGTGGCACATGGCTGCCTAACACTGCTGTTGTAGTGGTTAGTCACAAAATTTGGAAGATGGTGTATTCGTCTGTGATGGTTTGATTTCCACCCTCCAGGTTCGGTGCACGCTACCTCAATAGCAGCCAGTCGTGTGGAGCAGGCTCTATCCGAAGTCGCCTCCTCTTTGCAGAGCAGTGCCCCCAAACATGGACCCCTGCACCCCTGGATGACCCTGGCTCAGATCTGGCTCCATGCAGGTATCCTCTTACTCATTCGCAGCGCATGCATGAAAGTTATTTTATGCCTTAATAATTAATCATTTTGTAACTGGCCGTCAAATACAGCAGGGCACTGTCTGCTCACCTCTTGTGGTCGATATTTGCTTCATCAGAGAATCAGATATGAGGTCAGAGTGAGTGCACCGGCATCAGCCTCCAGGACTTTATTGAAGAGCAGTTTGATTAGATATCTACTGGATATATTAGATTTCCCCTCACTTGAGCTCAGATTCTGATTTCAGCGACCAAGACAGACTGCGGTGTCCACACAAACAGACACACACACTCGGGCTGAGGTAGTTTGTCCGCCTGTTTATCTGTCCAGCTGCTTCCTGTCAGGGTTGGCCATGTCCAGCCCAGTGATATGGCTAATGTAATCAGCCAGTTCAGGCTCATTTCCTCCGTCTCTACTCGTATCATTCTGTCTTCATCACACCAGCGCAGTGAAAGCCTCAGCTGGGCATGAAGTGAAGAAGTCTCTTTTTTTTCTTTTTTTTTCTGCTCATGCAGCTTGAAGGGAAAAATGTTTTTATCCTTTCTTATTTTCTGCATCATGTTAAGAGTATCGCCGTGTCCGTGCAGCAAAAGCAGTCCAAAAGTCACATTTAATTAGTCGTTCAAACAAACAAACGCACATATGTGCAGGACATATATGATGACGGCAGGCCAGTGGCGAGATATAGATTACACGTCAGGCATCAGCTCTGAGCCCCTTTTTGTTTGCAGTGGTGATGGACAGGCTAACAGATGAGGTCAGGCAGGAGTCTCTGTGGACGATGATGGACTTTGAGAGTAGGGAGCAGGTGGAGGAAAGTCTGGGGAGGTGGAGGTATGCTCTGGAGTGAGGAGGAATGGAAGTCAGTAGAAGAAAAACTGAATATATGTGTGAGAATGAGAGAGAGAGAGAGCAACGGGTGTAATAGTGAAGCTGCAAGGAGTGTAGGTAGAGAAGGTAGATGAGTTTGGAGACAAAGTTAGGCTGAGATCGTTTTTTGGACATGTGTGGAGGAGGAGTAGCGGATATACTGGACAAAGGGTATTGAATATGGAGCTACCAGGCGAGAGGAAAAGAGGAAGACCACAGAGGATCAGTATGTCAGTAGAAGATGCTGGGATAGGGTGAGATGCAAGCAGACTGTAGCCAGCCCCATAGGGAGCAGAAAAAAGAAGAAGATGATGAAGAATGTCACATTACATCCACAAAAGATCAACAGATACGAGAGATCATATATCATCAATATGTGTAAACTTGCACCGAATGGGCTTCGGGTGCTTTGAGGAAAAACATGGAACAAAAATGATCACAGTTGGAGGAATTTGTTTTTTAGCCCTGGAGGTTCACAGTGTTTCTATCAGTTTGAAATTCTGCGTGTGTCTCTGTTGAACAGCTGAGGTGTACATCGGCATGTCAAAACCTGCTGAGGCCACGGCTTGCACGCAGGAAGCCGCCAACCTCTTCCCCACGTCCCACAACGTCCTCTACATGAGGGGGCAGATAGCCGAGCTGAGGGGCAACATGGACGAAGCCAAGCGCTGGTACGAGGAGGCCCTGTCCATCAACCCGACTCATGTCAAGACCATGCAGAGACTGGTAAGTCACTCTGTCCTCCACCTGCCTGCCTGCAGTGCCCTCACACCCTGACGGGTTTTGTGTGTTTTTATGTAATTACCTACAGTCTGCCGGGACGGTTAAACCTCACCTGAGGAGAGCAAGTTTGTTTTTTGTTTTCAGTCTGCTCCGTCTGCCCTTGTCACTCATTCACTCATGTTGGCAGGCCAGAAACGAACAGACCTGCTGATGGAGAGAGTAACACACAGAAATTCTCTCCAGTGACAGCACGGCAATGGCACCTGAAGGCGGATCAGTACCTCAGTAGTCAGTGTGTCCATCTGACCAGAGTGCAGATTAAAATGTTTTCATGCATTTGGAGGCTTTTGACAATTTGTGTAGTTGGTATTTTAGCTTGAAAACTGGATTTTGTCTTGGTAATTGTGGGGAAAGTTTCGAGCTTGCATGTGTCTGCAGGAAAAAGATGGTGTAGTTGAACATGCCTATAAAGAAAATTGGCTTTTTCTCCAATTTATTCAGCTTAGTTAATGTTAAGTGATAATAGGGCTGCCACGATTAGTCGACTAGTCACGATTATGTCGACTATTAAAATCGTCGACGACTAATTTAATAGTCGACGCATCGTTTGAAGCTTTGTAAGATCACAAAGGACGCAGGAATGAGTAGTAGGATTTAAGAGTGTAATAACGGACTGAAACAGAAGATGGCAGCACTGCATGTACAAGGATGCCAACTGCCGTTAAACCCCGAAGAAGAAGAAGCTGTGTCCCAGAATTCATAGCGCAGCCCAGCGCAGTTGTCAACAATGGCGGCAGCTAGTTAGTTTTAACTTTACTCTTATTATTCTTTCTGGGTCACAAAATAAACGTTTAACATATTTTCAGGCGAGAATGTAGCTGTGTAAACCTCAAATATCTGCTCAGTTTATCAAGACACCACATATTTTCAAAAGCGCTCCGACGTTTTCGGAGATGTCTGTTACCCACTAGCTCGTTAGCTAGGCGGGGGCTAGGCTAGGCTAACTAGAGCCGTGAGAACACCGGACTCCCGGCAAATCGTTTTCAAACCCACCGCCGTCTTTCGCTAGTCAGGTTAAACATGATATATAAGTCACTTAGATAACTTAAAAATGTTATTGTTTGGCTTTCTTTAGTATTTTATTTGTTCCTGAGTAAATCTGTTTGGCTGAGATTAAAGTTATAGTTTTTGCACAGCTAAAACTGTCAAGCAGACAGCTGATTATCAGAAGTGTGAGACGCTGGAGAATATACTCCGGTGTCCTGTTATATTTTAGAAAGCAAGGAGTTTATTAAACTTTACCGAAACAATCTGCAAATTTCATTAAAATTAATAAACTACCATCTTGTCTTTATTTTTAGTTAGCACAAACACTTCAAGCTGTAAGCTAATGATAGTTATATAAGACCAGATGCTGCTGGTGCAATACGCTGTACGTCCAATGGATGATGATCTGATTAGTCGACTAATCGCAAAAATAATAGGTGACTAGTCGACTATCAAAATAATCGTTTGTGGCAGCCCTAAGTGATAATCTAGCAATAGATGAAAAGAGTGAAAATAATAAAAGTGAAATAAAGAACTGAGCTGACTGACCCACGGTGGACCATCAGTCTGCAAAAGTTAAATCAGGTAAATCAAAGGAAGTAAAAGCCGAGACTAAAACGAAAAGCACATGAAGAGTACTAAAAAGAAAAGGAGAAGAGATTAAAAGTCCAGTTATGGAACAAAGAGAAGAAAAAGAGTAGGTTGGAAAAAAAATATGATGCAACCTTAAGTTAAGAGCAACTAAAAACAGGAGGAATTCATGTTTATTTATGAAAGTTAAAAACAACAGGAGTTCAGTCAGAGTGTTTTCCAGTCACGAATAAACAGAAATAATCCGGACAGGATTCTTGGTGTGCCTGGCCTCGTTATTAGTTTAAAGGGTCTCCTTCCGGGCTACTCTGCTTATACTCACTTTTTGATAATCTGCGGAGGTCATGAGGCAGTGAAGCAACCCCAAACCAGATGATTTCATCACCTGCAATGACGCCAACTTACAAAGAAGAAGAAACACTTCCCTCATCATACTCACTCACACTACTGTAAAAAAATGGACGGCAACCTCTTTGTGACTGGAAGAAGTCGGAGATTGCCAGTTGTGGTGATCACTGGGACACCCTCGATCTTCGACCGCTTTCGATTGGGGTCGCCTTTTGGGAGGCAACCTGTCTCCAGACTTGCACCAACTGCAGTCATGTTCACAAATAATTTGGGTCACGCTGTGGTCTCCAGCCACTGTTTTCCATTGTTCTGTTTCCATGGGGTTAAAATTCTGTTAAGACACGTGGTTGACAATAAGACGCACAAAAAATGGTGGGTGGCACCGAAAAGCACAGGTGTCAAACGTAAGGCCCGAGGGCCAGAATCGGCCCGGCGGAGCCTGCAAGAGTTTTATTTTTAGTGGACAGTCTCAGGAATAAACTACCAAAAGATGAAAGTTGGCTGTACGTGGCCACCCGTGTAAAAGCAGTTTGATATTGCTGCTGTAAAGACCAAGTGGCCACTCGAGGAACTGCACATTTTGGCACATTAGCTGTGGAGGTGGCTGTCCCTCAATAATACCCTGTTGAAGATTACTTCCATTAGTTTTTCCCATTTGCTGAATTTGATCTCCATAGCTCTCATGCAAGGAAAAAAACGGAGTAGAGAGCTCAGACCCAATGAAAATCATCATCTTATAACTGGAAGTGTGTAAAATACGGCAGGTAGTTTGCGGTAGAAGATAAATGACACGGCGCACTGTGTAAATTTGAATCTCTGGTTTAAATCCTTCATGAATAATAAATGTTAAAAGTGAGAGGAGGGTGGCTGTTACCGATATTAAATGTAACTTTAGAGCTTCTTTTTAAATAAAGCCAACTGCTGAATCATTGACACACAGCATGATAAAAAAAGGGGGATGTTCTCTTCTTCTCTTGTTTTCTCTGTTGCAGGGTCTGATCCTGCACCAGCTGCAGCGTTACAGTCTTTCGGAAAAGGTGCTGAGAGACGCCGTGCAGGTGAACAGGTGAGTTTGTTTGTGTTTAAACAAGGTAATGTTTGTACGTTTTCTCCTTTAAGGCACCTGTGGTTCAACATTTTTCTATTTCCTCACTTCTTCCTCTTTCCTTCCCACTTCCTCTTACATCCCTTTAATTTCTCCTCTTCTTTTACTTCTCCTCCCTCTTTCTATGCTGCTGTTCTCCTCTCATCCTTTTTTCTTCCTCTTCTTTTTTCTTTGCTTTCCTCTCCTCGTATTTCCCATCTTCTCGCTTCCTCACTTCTCTCCTTGCCATCCCACTTTCCACCCATATCCCTCTACTCTCATCTCTTCTTCCTCCACTTCTTTCCTTCTCATCTTCCATGTTTTTCCTCTCCACTATACTCTTTCCTCTACTCTTCCTTCCCCCCTTAAATTTGTTTCTGTTCTTCCTCTTGTGACCTCTTCATCCCTCTGTCCTCCTCAGCACGGCTCACGATGTGTGGAACAGTCTTGGCGAGGTGTTGCAGGCTCAGGGAAACACCGCCGCCGCCACTGAGTGTTTTCTCACCGCCTTGGAGCTGGAAGCCAGCAGCCCCATCCTGCCCTTCACCATCATTCCCAGAGCGCTATGAGAAAAACACAAGTGTATATAGAAATGCAAAGAGTACAAATAAACAGGCTTCCCTCTGTCTACCCGTGCTTCCCACAATGCCTTTCTTGTGGCCACGTCTACGTGAGTGTGCGTGTCTCTTTCCCGCGCTGCGTGTTGTCTCCTTCGTCAGATTCCGTTCAAATCATTATTCTCAGAAGCCTGAAAGTTGTGTTTACATGTTGTTTAGTCCAAATACACACATACACTCTGAGCAGTTTTAACATAAATGGATTAGATTTCCTTTAAAAGCCAAATATGCATTTACTTGGTACTGTTCACATCGATGCAGCAGAAAACGCTCTTTCAAAAGTGGATGCAAGCGCCAAAACCTGTCCGTCCCACTCCCTTCCTGTTTTTTTGTTGTTGTTTTTTTTTTTTCTTATGATGATTTACGGAGTTCAGCAAGGTGAGAGAGCACCATACAATTTAGAGCCACCAGTGGACCCTGTTTTCAGTGGGTTCATGTCTTCATTGTTAATCCCTCTCCCTGCCCTGCATCTTTTCTGCTTTCTGATAATTCATCAGATAAAACTCTGTGTAGTCTCTGTGTTCTGCCCTCACCTGGTTTAGTCAGTGATAAATATTGCTGTATGTATATGCTTGTGTTTTTTTGTTTGTTTGTTTTTTAACACTACAAAAACTCAATCCCATTTTATATGCACGCACAAACACTATAGATCAGCAGCAGATCGAGCTGGGGGTCAAACCACTGAGTATTGCCTTCACTGTACTGTAGCCTTGCACCCGTGTTAGCATTGTTAAAATTTGAAGACAGGAACCCACTGTAGTAAATTCAGACTTCTGAGTGGTCAATGGTGTTTGACTCGACACTAAGATCATTTTCCAAAAGTATCTGTTACACTTTTTGGTGCTTGTATCCACTCAGGAAAGATGCTCGTGTAATGTTATCTGCATCTGCATGGAGGGGGATCGTTGTTACTGTATACCTGGCTCAGGATCAGCCAGGTCTTTAAGGTATCCAGCGGAGCATCGACGGACTTTCACTGAGAAATAAATCGGTGTAAATGCCAAACCTCGGGTTGCATTCGCCCTCACGGGAAATCTGATTTCCTGCAGCTGATTTTAAAGTGGTTTTGTGAAGTTTTTAAGTGAAAAATCAAAGTGCCACCTGGAGCAACTCAAACGGCAGCAACGTATAATCTGCGGGAAACTGTTGGAATCTGTGCCACATCTTTCCTCCAGAAATCAGATTTTCTTGTTGAGCGCAAATGCACCCGCAGTGATTGTGTTGTCTTTGTGTCCCATCACCAGATTAATATTTTTATTTCGTTTTTGATTATAAATACAAAGAATTATTGCTGTATATTTCATTGTTCCACTAGTGTATTATTATTTTAGAGAGTAAATTATAACTATTTTCTGGAGAATGATGTTGCTTAGAGAGAGTGAGGTATGAAAGGACATCCTCCTGAGCTCAGGCAGTGAGTCCTTTGTGCTGTAAATGAATGATTATGAAGACCAAGATAATAAAAGTGGATAAAAAGAAGATGTCCGATGCTCTCTGGTTCTCGTGTGTGTGTGGGGTACTCCTCCTGGCAGCGACCTTGGGGTCGGCGGTGTGTGTTACTTTCTCAGGTGTGTGTCTGTCAGCAAATCGACGCGTGCTCCTTTGTGTGGTTTTTATCAGAGGATTACAGCGCTGACAGGTTTTGTCCTGGAGTGCCAGGAAGCCCCCGCTCGGTCTCTCCCGCCCGCCCAGTCCTGAGGTCTCTGCTGGACTCTCAGGTGTCACTAGAGGTTAATCTCTCATAAAGGTCATCACCAGGGTCCAGGTGTAAACGTTTGCACAATTCCTGCAGTTACTGCCACAATTTCAGTTTAAAAATGACACAAAGTACTTGCTCACTAGGGTTTCTTATTATTGGCTAGTGCACAAAATGAAGCTGGTTGTAATTCGTTTCAATTGTCCAAAAATGAAACTGCAGTCCCTCTAATGGCCACGTGAGGCTGGCTCCAAATGTGAGTCCATCAACAGGACAATAACTAAATAAAAGCGAATGCATGAGGGCATAACGCACTGATGCTTTCATCAACGAATAAAAGCAAAATGACAATATTCTCGAATGACGAAAACCAATCTAGAACTAATTAAGTTGTGTAGAAAGGCGGGACAAGTTTGGAAGTGGTCCAATCAGAAATAATCTCTATGTGCATTAAGGTTAGGCAGCAGCAGATTTGATCTGCTCCTGGGAAACAGTACAACAGGCCCAGTGTTTCTCATGAAAATACAACAAAATGAACATTTAAGGAAAATAAGACTCATTGTAAACCATGTGGAGCAATTGATAAAGACACAACAAACTTTACACTCACATTTAGTCTGCTATAAACTTATCATGTTTATTCGGCTAAAACTGAAAGAATTTAGATGCCTAAATTATAACTAAAACTAAATCAAAACCCCCCGGCAACCACAGGTCACTAAGAAAAAATGTGTACTCTTCGACCAGTTGCCAAGTGGTTGCTGGCGGTTGCTAGGTTGCCACGGTCACCTGCAGTCTGCGTGAGTGATGCGAACTTGTCTGCAAACACCGCTGCAGCAATCATATTTCTAAAGGAAGGGCGTTTACTTTGAAGGCGAATGATCTTTTTCCAAGGTTTGCTGCCACTCAGAGACTAGTTGGCAAGTGTTTGGAGGTAAAGTTAAGCCAATCTACTAGCAACCAAAGCAGTCACAAGGAAATAAGCCAGCAGCCACTCCCCAACCAGTCAGGGGAATACACATTTTTCCCTAGTGACCAGAAGTTGCCAGGAAGTTGTCATCCGGTTTGACTCGCTTCTGTAGTCAGCCTCTAGTGGCCACTAGAAGAAGTCCAGTTGCTGGAAGTTGCCGCAGCTAGTCTGAGGCTTTATTTTTTGCATGCAGCTGTGAACAAATAAAAACATGATTATGGTTCAGTGCGTTGAGTTGTTGCTTTTACAAACATTTCTTGAATGCAAATGTGCAATGTGTGTGAGAGTGTGTGTGTGTAGGGTGTCAGAGGGACTTTTCCAGATCGCCCAGAATGTCTTGTCTGCAGATGAAGAGCTGTTGCTAGGCAACAGAGCCAGGGACAGGATGGGCAAAACAGAACAAGAGGAGGGAGCAGAAAACTGTGGGAGCTGGAGGAAAGAGTGGGAGAAGGAATTGGAGGGGGGAGGGGGGCAAGGCTGGACTGGGACAAAAAATCGGCCCGGGCATTTTGACTAGAGACCGGCCCACCAGGATAAAGATTGAAAATGTGACGTCATTCAGGGGTAAAACCGCAAAGGATTCTGGGAACTTGTGGCAAGAGGTACTGGCGCACGCAGGCTTTCAATTGAACTCAGTTACACAGCGATAAAAAGAAACCCAAAAAATGGCAAGAAGCTGTTGTATTATTAACTGCAATAGCCGGTCACATGACAGCCACGGGAAGCCGACGGGTAAAGAGATCTTTTTTTTTTTATCGGATTAAGTCGTTGAAGAGAAATTTTTTAAGCCATGTTTCCGAAGTAAGAGCCGACGGATGGTCTGGATATACCAAATATAACGTCTCAGAACACTCCAGCTCACATGTTAGTCTGCTCCAAGCATTCCCACAAAGGTCAGAGTTTTGTAGTAGTTAATACGTCATTTTTCTTAACATAATTGGTGATATAGGTTACAAGCAAGTCTGGCGCTGAACAGAAATTGTCGCGCTATGCTCCTTTGTTTATTGTGCATTAATAGTGAATTGTCCTGACACAATATTGCGTTTCGCTTCTGTTATTACCATGGTACATTGACAGAAATATATACTTTTATTCACAGGATAAAACAGTTGTTTTGTATCACTAATTGTCCAGTGCGATTACAGCATACAATATTATTGTCACTGCTACATTTCTGTAATGCTACCAGAAATTATTTCCACTATTAATTAATTACCGTTGAGCTCAAAGGTTATATTAATAAACGGTTAACGAATGTGTATCTATGAGACGATTTGTGAGACTGGTAAACTTACCTTTGTTTTCGTTCTACACGGTGCATTTCAAGGTCCTGTACCCATCCGTCGGTAAACTGTACCTGGGCTTGTTGCAGTGACCTGAAGTTACTAAACTTCATGAGTGCATGCACTCACTCCAAGAACCGTATAATTATAAATATGAGCGTGGTGAAAGTTGGGCAGCACGCTAACGTCTTTTGTCCACTCTGTGTGCTCGTAAGGGTCTAACCCTTTCACTCCTTTGATTTTTTCTTCGAATCTTTTCTTTGTCTTTTCGTCGAGTCTGTCTTTGTACGGACCGCATTGTTCTCCTTTTGTTTTTGTACATTCCTTTTTGTGCGTCAAAGAAAAAACAAGAAGGCATTGGAACCGGAGAATGAACGTTTTGCAGTGCTGCAAATGCTTGCATTTGATGCGGTACTTGGATTGTTTTGCCACGAGTTCCCGGCATGCAATGCGCGAAAATCACGTGATTGCTAAACAAGGGAGAGGGTGCATCCGGCCTCCTCGGCTGTAATTGGTCCAGCCCAGAGTCGATCATGACCAATCCGGTTGTTCAGTGATGACGCGACGAATCCTACTTCCGGGTCTAAAGTTGTCTGCGTTTAATATGGCTTTTGTGTTGTTAACATGTTTAATGTTATGTATTTTCTTCTATTTGATCTCAAAAAGCTCCTAAAACAGTCAGTGATCACTGTTGACCTCCCTCGGCTTTTATTACCGCTAATCATTTATTTAAGCTCAGTTTTTAAAACCTTAGGATGTAACTACAGCCCAGCCCATGCAGCAGTATATGAATGACTAACCTCGTATTGTGGATGGATTATCTCAGTTGTTCTCCTGGTTGAAGTTTGGTCCTTTTACAGCATCCTGCCATGCGATTACATTTGTTCCTGACCACCGAGAACACTCACGTTAACTTTTATCGAGTGGAAAAAAAGTTAGCTTGTTTATATTATGCTAACATACCTGTGTCGCTAGCGGTCACGTAGCACATCATTATATACCAGCTAG